CTTAGTTCAAGTAATACATTCATTATGTTTACTTAATGATCTATATCCAAATGTCTATTTGGCTGAAAGTATGCGTCATAATTTAAAATTTGCATTGTCTATATATTTTTCTAAATCCCGAAAATTTTTTTTACAGTAATGCAAATTTTACCCCGAACCCTCAGTGTTTCGTTCTCGGTACTATGCCTTTTGAGTATTCGTAAGTTCGGAATTACATATTAATTACATCATAAGCCCTTTACTTACTCTATACGATTCATGAATATCCTCCCTTATTATCCAGTATACTCTACGTATGATTTCGAATTTAGGTCTTTTTCATCAATAGAATCGATTACAAATGGTTCATTTCTACGAAATGCTCGTCGCATAGATATAATTTGCATTTCGCTTATACTATTACCACTTTTCATATTCATCCCGCTGGCGTATTTCACTGGTCACTACGCCGATATTAGCCAAATGAGGGTCGCGAACATACTATTCACGATTCATTACGTTGTATGGTTGATATTTGGCATCTTTTATTTGGCTGTATGGATATTGTTTTGGAATCGATTCGTTGCCGTTGAAGACATGAACCGTACGAATAGAAAGCAGGTATGTGTGTCTAACGCGTCATGGTCGATTTCCCTTATAATTCTAATGCGATGTATTAATTTATATATTTATCACGTAGTTAACTGTCACTTTCCTAATCATTTCTGCATGCCTTTACTTGTTTGCATTTTTGTTGTATGGAGCATTTCATAGATCCCATACAATTTGGATTTATGGCATAAATATTGTTTACCTCATATTCTGGAACTACTACGCGCCTTTTCTCATCCATATAAGCCAATGGGTGATGATTTATAAGTGTGTAACTTTTTCGGTAAACCAATTTTTAATGACCACTTTCTAATGACCAATTTCTAAGTTTCAAATTTGAATTTTATAGGATGTTCGTGTCTGATCTCGCAAGAGTACCTTCCAAAAATATTAACATGGAAGGAAACGATGATTCTGACGAAGTAGATGATCCATTAAATTTCGCAAATGATAATTTTATCACACCTTCGCATAGTAAAACGCCGAAACCCTGGAATTCCTATAGTGAAGGTTATTCATCAAAGCATGGGAAAGATGCTTATACAAGCAATAGCAGCTCACGTATTTTCAATTCGGAATGTTCGAAGACCGGATTGAGACATAGTAGTAGTTCGATCAATTCGTTTTCGGATTGTACAACTTTTAATACGACCAGTACTCATAAGCATAGTAATAGTTTCGGGAGCAATGTTAAAAAGGAGGAATTGGTGAAGAAACTTCAACCCGCTGTAGCAAATATATAATAATTCGTAACTTGTTAATAACTTGTACAATATTCAGCAAATTTGTATAATATATGCTATTATATTTGCAGAGTGATGAATGAAAGTGACAATATATTTTGTGTATATATTTAATAAAATTAATTTTACGAAAAAAGTACATAAAATTTGCAAGAAATATTTTACATCAA